TAGAGTGTGCTTTCAAAGACATTCCTCCAGTGCTGTCACTTTTTTGAAGGAACTAATGTCACTTAGAGTAACTAGAGAAAGTGCTTTGGAATGAACTTCCAAATAATAGGTATGTTTATGTTGAGCTTGGAACTTCTATGATATTTTTAAAATCAAACCAAATTTGAAAACTGTCATTTTCAGATTTACACTGTATAGAAAATATAACTGTAATAATTGTTACATAGTCCCTAAGGATATTAGTGCTTGGATATAAATCTTCAGGAATCTTATTTGTAAATGAGATATTTTGAATTAATTGTATTTAATAGTATCTGAATAAAACTCAATATGCCTACATGTAAATCATAGAAATAATGCTTTGACTTGAGTGTATGTCATTGACAGTAAAGCAAAAATCTCCAAACTGATTATTAACTCATTTGGATCAATCCAAAGAGACTGAAATGTTCAGTATGTGACTTTTGTTTCATCACTGTAATCTGATTTCAGAGATCAGCAGATGGATCAAGTCCAGAAGATGGAGATGGTAAGAGATTTTACTGTAAGATTAAAAGCCACCAGCATGTGTCTTGTTGGAATATTGTGCATTTTCTCTAACTGCTTTTTTTCTGCAGAATCTGATCGAGAGGATGGAAATTACTGTCCACCTGTAAAACGTGAGAGAACTTCATCCTTAACTCAGTTCCCTCCTCAGTCAGGTAAATGTTGCTGTGATATTATATACAAGGTTTCCTTCTTAGGCCTTTTATTTTTCCAGTCATGGTAGCAGTCTTAGTGCTGTCTGCTGTGCTTTGTCTTAAGACCACAGCAACCAGGTACTCTCTATTTTTCTATGGTCCACGTTAGCAAATTTGGTGAAGCCCAAAGCAAATTGAGAAATAGTTTTTAAAAATATTTTTTATCTCCAAGTTTATATATATTTGTCTTTTCAGCTTTTAATCTTGTGCTGTTAAATTGAAGAATTAACCAGAAATCTTTTTTGATTTGTTGTGATCAGGTTGCTCTTTAACAAATTTGAATTTCTTAGTTGCTCTGCTGCCAGGAAATCTTCCAAGTCTTAGCTTGTGCTTGTTCTAGTGCTTTTCTCTTTTCTCCCATCCTTTTTAAAATGGAGAGGATTTAGTGCATCCCTGAAACACAAGAGAGAATGATCACAGCCCATGTGTGTGTGCACAGTCAGGGCAGTGAAATCATTGGGGTAAATTTGTGCACAGAAATGGTCATGTTTCATATTTGTTCACCCACAGGAACAATCTCTTAAGATTTCTGTCTTCTCCACAGATAATATGAAGGTTTTAGCTTTGGTTGAGGATTATTTTAGTTAAGACATGTCATGTTTGAGGCAGATTTGGAGACTTTGCTACTTTATTTCCACTGTCTTAGTTGAAATAAAGGAGATGAGAAAAGCATCTCACCAAAAGGAGAGAACAGTGAAAAAATATTCCTCTTGCATGCAGCACATTCAGGAGATGTGACTAAAAGGTGAAAACCTGGTTATTTTGCTTTTAGTGTTAAAGAAGGAAGTGACTATGGAATTTAAAATCTAGTTGCTGATATTTTATGGGCATGGTGTTCTCATATCTTGACTGGATATGGGCATTTATTCCCTGATTCACTTGTTCTTTTCTGATGTGTGTTGTCAAGAAGTGACAGCTTGGATTGGAATTGCAGCTTCCCTAAAGGCCTCTTTGAATATTGTTGACATTGTTTGATGGCTTTGATTTCCAGAAAATCTTTCACTTTCCCAACTTCTTAATTTTTTTGTGGGGTTATGTTTCTCTCCAGAGTAGGGAAGTTTTACTTGTATGAAACATGTGTCATGTTTAAGGCAGACAATAATAAAAAGAGAGAAGAGGGAATTAAAGGAAAGAAGCAAATATGAAAAAGAATTGCCTTTTAATTATAAAGAGCAAATGCTGCATCTTTTAGTACAACTGTGTTCAGAGATGAGATTCCTTTCTCTTTTCAAAACACTTAAGCTTTTTCCACAGGACAATGACTTGTTGACTCCTTTGGCTAGAATACTGTTTTAGTTTAGAAGAAATTAAAAAAAAAAATAGAACAAATTACTAGAAAAATCATTTTCCATTTGAAGCCTTGATACATCTGGGAACAGGTTTATAATTAAAAACAACATACACAACTTCCCTTAATTTTTTCCTTTTCTTTGACTGCAGTAACAAAGAACAATGTCTTTATGCCATCAAGCTTCTGTGAACCCTCTACAGGCAATTCTGACTCAGAACCAGGTGAGCCTCCTCATTTTTCTGCTTTTTTCTCGACCTGTTGTCAATTTGTC